AAACCAAAAAAACCCAAAAAAACCCAACCAACCCCACAAACCCCCACAAACAACCCCCAAAATAACAAAAAAACCCAAACCAAACAAAAACAAATAAACAAACAAAACCCCCAACTCTTGAAGCTGTAATTAGTTGTAGTATAAAATGTGGTGCCTAGCCATTTGCATTACTGGTGTTATGAGATGTATATCTTAGATGTATGAAGTCTAGCTAGCATGATGTTAAATACCTGTGAAATATGGATATAGATTGAGAAGCAAGTATATGCTGTTCTTATGGAGTTGATAGGATTTGGTATGTGATGGGGGAGAGAGAAAAAAGTCTCTTTGAAACATGACTTTGTAGTCTTAAGCCTAGATATAAGACCCTTTGAAATTTCCTTTTCTCTTTACGGTGTGCATGCAAAGGTATCAGTTGTTGTTTTCAGATCTAAAATGATCGTAATCAAAGGTTTTGTTCTGGATGCTCTGAAGAAAACTTCTATTTATCTTTCTGGTTAGTTACTTTAAAGCCTGCTTTACTTCTGGTGGTGCTTCTGTTAAACTCTCATGTGAGCTACAGGCTACACGCTGGAGACTGATCTCTGCTTCACAGTGCTCTGTGATACTCTGACCTTTGGTGTAACCCACTGTAACTGTGGAGTTACTCTGTGTGTTGTCACCTTGATGCTGCTGCACCCTGTGGCCACCTTTGCTGTTAGACATCTGTGGACACTGGAGGAGAAGGAATGCTTTAAATTATATCTTGGTTTTCTGGGTGTTCCTGGTGCTCCTTGACTGATGGGCTTGCTAACGTGACCTTCGCTGGTCTGCTTTTCCACATTACAATGCTGGGGCTGGCTGTAGGTCCCTGGTGGAAAGGGGCTTGCAGGTACCTCTGTAACTCTGCTAATATGAGGACATACAACCCTTCTTAGTCCAGTGACCTCAGCATCCTGTATTTTGACTGAGAGATGCTTTTTTGTATCTCTTTGCTGTGAAACAGAAATTAATTCTGTATGAACTAGGAAAGACAAGTCTTTATCTGCACTTCTGTTGAGGTTGTTTAAGGGCAAATCTATTGGCTTCTGTGGTAAACCTATAGCTGGTGCTCCTGTGAGGAGAAGAATATGGAGAAAACTCCATCACTTTGGATGAAAAGATGATATCTGTGCTTACCAACTATGTAGACCGAGGCATCAGTCTGAGTGCACTCCTCACTTCTAAGGGATTATATACCTAAATCCTCTACTACCATCTCCTTTTGGACTTGTTTCCTCTCAAGCTACTTTGTTGTACATGTCATTGTAGCACCTAAAGCCTCAGGCAGGGGCCAGCAACCCAGCATGAGAAGGGCAGTATGCAGAGCAACAAGCATTCCCTAATCCCAAGCATTTTCAGTCCAAACCTTAGAAAAGAGGTGATACATGAATAAGGATCAAGAAGAGAAGACGGGGAAAAAATCTCCATGCAGTAGATATGGCACATCAGTTATCTGGGACTAGATTTTTAACATGCATTACAGCAATGAATGTTTTAGTAATATACTACTGTTATTATGTCTCTTCTGGATTGTACTTAATGTCTGCTGAGCTATTAATATCTTAATCTTTAAGATGATGGGCTATATATATTTTTGGCTGACTGGTGAAAAAGGATGTGGAAACTTAGGGAAATACAGGACTAATCTGTGTCTTTCTTTCATTTTCCAAATATTTACATTGATTGAATAAGACCCTTACGTTTTGAGTGGATGAGGTTTTACCAGAGAGGAATCACAAGTGAGCTGATTGCGGCAGCATATCACACACGGTTAAATCCTCCGGGCAAGACCTGCTGCCACAAACACTACTGGACTTTATCTCCTCCCTTGCAGTGGGGAGCAAGGTTGCAGCAACACAGAGCTTTGCCAGACATCTGTAGCTGCAAACTTAGAAAAGGCCAGTGAAATATAAAGACAATCTAGAGCATCTACAGGGTGTGCAGTATCCGCAGGTGCTGGCAGTGGTCTGTGGCAGAATGTCAAAGCAGTTTCCCTGGCACATCTCCCACCATTCAGGAACCCAGAGGGAAAGTGCTAGTGGGGACTGAATATCCTTCACTGTGTCTGTAAGCTGCTACAAGAAGGTATGTTACAATGGAGGTGTGTTTCAGCATTATATGACAACTAGGTATATGTATCATAAAATATAACCAGGGCTATATGTAATAGCTGGCATTTTGTAACCCCAGTGACTCACTGTGTCTTTCCTAAGGAGAAAAAGTCACTGGAGCCACCTCCTGTGGCTGCATGAAAGGCATACCTTTGCAGGTCCCACCTGCTGCTCCTCGCTTAGCACTCGATAAAAATCTCCCCTTGTGCTCCTCTCTCCACTAACCAGGAGTCAAGAAATATCATTCTGTCACTGCTAGTTCCGTATGCCAGGTGGATGGATGTTGCAGGAGGTTTTCATCATGCTGCTTATCAGCTACTTCTACTTCATGATGCAAATATCTTCTCACTGTCAAACCCTCTGCGAGAAATTACCTGTAATTAGTTCTTTCTGGGTAGGTTATCCAGATACACTCTTTGATAGCAGTGCTATCACATTTATTTCCCAAGTAGCAGTAATTATTATCAAAGACAAAAAATAAACAAGCTTTTAGACCCCATATTTAAACCCAGTTTTCCCCTCTTTTAGGCATGGGGTGGTGGTTTAACACTGTTTTCTTTACCGGGTTGTTTGTCAGACCCAGTTCTGGAGAAGAGCATCATGTCCCACAGAGGAGCTGGAGACTGGAGAGGTTTCAGGTGCTGATGGATTTGCTCTGGCACCTGACGTGCGTGCCAGTAGCTGTCTCATCAGGGGGACCGGGACGTCACTGTCACCATAGAGACAGCAACAAGGATTCGGTTTCAAAAGGTGAAGAGAAGCTGGGAATTAGGAAGGTAAGGCTGGGTCTGTCTCTCAACTCTCATGAAGGGTTTTAAAATGATGTTATATTTGAAAGGATGCTACAGTAGAGAGATGCTCTACTATATATTTATACAGGTGTAGATGTGTGCATATAAACATGCCTATGTACATGTTTACATGAACTGTTTTGAATAGATTTGGATGCAAAAGAACCCAATGGAAGTTTTTAAAAGACCTTGCTAGTGTTCTGTTTGTGCTCCTTCAATTAATTTTTCTTTTACAGGCAGCATAAAACAAGACTTGAGTTCTGCTTAAATTTTATTTTAAGAAGTCATAAAATATTCACTACCTCAAAATTTTATCTGTTTTTGCACAGAAGCTGAGTGAGCTGTGGTGTGTTGTAAATTAACGTTGTTCACTTCTGCTCCTTTTCATGGTCTTCTGCTGTGCTTTAGCAATGATATGGATGTAAAGCAATGGTGAGTGTTGACAGGCAAGATAGGAATCAGCCATGAGTCATTGTTTAACCACGTGGGACTTGTAAAGCCTGGGTTTATACTGGTCCAGAACAGCTTGCAAATAATCTCTCTCTGCCCACTCTTATATCAGCAAGTAAAACCACCCCTCCTGATGGCTTATCCCATCATTTGGAAATATAACCTCAGTGATGCATAGACTTGTTTAAAGCTTCAGTTTGCACACTTACAATCCCCAACAAGGTGCTGACCCCCAAAGGATGTTTCTTGTACCTCAAAAGCAAATGATAACTTCATGGTGATGGCTCTGAGGGGAGCGGAGTGGTGGCAAGGAGGAGTCCATCTGGCAAAGCAACAAATGAACTATTAATGAGTAATGCCGTGTAAGCATTACTGTAGAAAGGGTGGTAGAAGGCTTATAGAGACTGGTAAAAGACCTTGCCTGTGATGCTGTGCAGTGCCAGATGCCACCCGAGTGGATGGGGCTGGATGCATGTTTCTGATCTCGGGCCAGGGATGCTCAGCAGAGCCCTCGAGCTCCTCTTGTCTCTGCCCAGTCCGCTGCAGCTCCAGCAGGAAGTAGCCAGAGCACAGCAGGTTTTTTAACCATGACACACTTCTTGCCTTGACAGCTGGAGGAAGTCTGGCATGGGAGCCAAATCTGTTGGCTTTGTGTCAGCTCTGGGGTATCTTTCCTGTTTTGGGAATTTCCCACTGGGGAGGTACCACTGCTGTTTGGAGCAGAGCTCAGATCTCAGCCCCTGTGGTTGCCCACTCTGAGAGGCGACTTTGGCAAGGATACGTGTTTTTTGGTATTTCTTGGTCTCTTTGATTTTATAAATAACTAAACGACAAGTAAAATTTTGGTATTTACCTTATAGATGAATTTGTATTTATTATTCCTACTGCTGTTGTCACTCACACATTTTCTGCAAATACAGAACAAAAGGCAGCTCTCTTGGCAGTAAGCTTATGGTCCGACTACTGTGTAAAGACAGCAGAGGACACAGAGAGCGCCTAGGGGGCACAAGGAAACCCTGAGATAACGTTGCTTGGGCTGCCGTTGTCAGACCTCTACAAACCACGATAATACATGTATGCTTGATGCTAATAAAAGAGGCAACCAGCGTGAATGTGAAGAACTGAATTCTCTATTTACATGCAGCTGGGGTTTGCATTTTTGGGGGTACCATTGTTGGGACATGCAGCTAGCTGGCTGACTTCCGTAACAAACTGCATTTTTAACTGATTTTATCTGATGACTGCTGCAGGATCTCGTCTACCCAGATTTTAGTCATTCACCTTGACTTCTGTTTCAGGAACCTTCTGACCAAATTGATCTTTGGTATCGATATGAAAATCTGTGCTGGTGAACTTTCAGGTTTGACTCACTTTCTGGGATCAGCCTATGTCTCAGTTATGGCACACTCTCTTCATTAATCATTTGATCATACTTTTTAGGGAGAATAGAAATTGTGGTTATGGTAGATTTGGAGTTCGTCCAGTTCAGTACCCTGTCTCCCATGGTGGTGGTCCCCAGCCGTTTCAGAGAAAAGAAAAAGAAATCCTGCTTTAGACAGGAAGGAGATAATCTGTCACCCTAAGCTCTAACAGAAACTTTGTTTCAGTATTTCTTCAATAGTTTAAAAAAATATTTTAATTAATGTAACACATGAGAACATTCCTAGCCATGCAATTATCCTATCCCTTTTAGAATCTTGTTAAATTGTTTGTTTTCATGATATCCTTTGGCAAGTGCTTTTTTTAACTTTACCTTCTCCCTTAAAGTGTTTCTTCTGAACTTTTGACTTGTTCCCCTCCACTTTGTTGAATGCCATCTACCTCCTGAAGTACAAGACAAGCAAACACAGATCTTATTGATATATAGCTCTGGGTTATCCAGCATTTTCCATGCTTGCTTGATGCCTTCTTCAACAGACAAACCATCCTCTGAGAACTTGATTACCAACTGAGATTATTACAAAGCCAGATGTTAAGAGAAGAGTTGGATACTAACATTATCTAGGGAATCTGATCGGAAAGATTTTACTGATGCAGAAGCCACTTCTGAGGGACAGCAGAAGGAGTGGATAGAAAGTTGTGCTTGATGTCTAGCCTATAGCCCTGCTCTTAGCACATTCAATCAGTTGCTCCTCTACTAGACGGGCTTCTTAGCCACTGCTCTGGTTGCTCAGCCTCTACAATCTGCTCTTCCCACAGAATGTACGTACTTTATCTACTGGGGGGATGGGAAACAGCACCTATTCTAAAAAGTGCCACCTTTTTTCCCCCCCCTGTTGTTTATTAGTAGTGGGGGTAATACAATTCCTCTGCTATATGTAGTTCCTCTCCTATAATGCTTCACACTTGACTGCCTGTGTGAAGTGGTCAAGACCTGCATCTGGAAATTATGCAGTAACAAGTTGGTTTTTAATTCCTTGCTACTCAGGAATATTTATTTGCAGCAGGTTTATGCCATAGTCTACCAGATGGTACAAGAAGTAAAGCAACTTTAGCTATCTTCTTTATAGTGTTATTTTGTGATATTGTCACTTCTTTGTAAGGTTTCCTGAGGTTTTCTTTGGCTCAAACTGTTAAGATTGGCCACAGTTTTGTTTTTGTTTTGAGGACAAGGAAGCACCTGTCTGAAATCATGCCATTGTGTTTGTTGGCATGTAGATAATTTACCATTTTATGTTGAAAAGATAGGCAAAAGAAAATGTGAAACTGATGCTGGGCGTGATTTCAGATTGTAGAGCTGTGTATTCACTGTAAGCATCTTCTTTGATAGCAGTGATCATTGCCCAGTGTTAGATACTGCTGTCTTTCTACATGCTTCCATACGCTAGGTATGCTTGGGTTTTTCCAATTGTCCCTGAGTTCAGTCTTTCATCTTTCAAGTGACCATTCAGAAACCTACAGAACCTACGTTTTCACATACATTCATTCTATAAGAAGATAAATGAGAAAAAAATAACTGTTCTGAGTGCCCAGTGTTGTAATGAGGGTATACAATCACTTTTTGCATGAACCAGTGGACTTTGGGGAGGATTTCTGAGAGTGGAAACCTCGCTGTGCTGTTGACCTTTCTCTCAGATCAGGCCCCAGTCAGAGAGGATAACTTTGCAGGCAATCCAGCCAGGGTTTTTCCATGTCATAAAGGGAATGATGAGGAACTCTGAGCTCTGAAGAGATGACTCAGTGCTGCTGGTGCTGAGTTAGACCTATCACTGTACCCATTGCAGAGGCACGCAGTCCACACCCAATTTCATCCTCTGCCCACACACAAATGTGTCATATATCTGTGCATGACTGAAGCACTCATATCAGACGCATTTACCTGCCAAAATTGTGGGAACTGTCCTAAAACGTTATTACCTTCTTCCAACTTTTCAAGTATTTCTTTCCTCTCTGATAATTTTGTCGCCTCTTTGGATCTGTTATATCTTCTAGGGGGTCTGCCTGTGCATGTAGGTCTGTATGGGAGAACTGTATTTGCAGAGCCATTTGTGAGTCATGTCAGTCTAAGGAAAACTAGTGGGAGGGACCCACTGAGCTAAAACAATGTATGGAATAGAAATGGATCACCTTGCTTATTTTGAATAAAAATATTGCCTCTTAATGCCAAATATTCCATTCAAAGATTAGTTTGGATTAGTGACATTGATAAAGGCATATGCTCTTCATTTCCATGAATAGCAGAGGATTAAAACGCGGCCATATCTGGCATCCCATCCATGTGCAAGTCATGCTAGAATCAGTTTAATTCTATGAAACTTAGTGCTATGAAATTAATTCACCTTCACCACACTGTGTCAAAGAGGCTGTGAATTTGTTCAACTACTAGGAAAAAGTGACTTTCTAATCTAAAGGTATGTGAACACATGTATCTTACGGTTTTATATTAAACTTTCAGATGTATTAGATGTAGCCTTCCAGGGCCTTGGTCAGGACTTGAGTCTATGCATATGCATATCTCTGAGATTAGGAACTCTGAGCAAGGTTCTCTGTGGTTTCTTAGGTCTTTTTTGAAAGTGTAAGGCCTCAAGCCATCTTTCAGAGCACAGGAGATCTGGAGTTTCCTTAGGCAAAGTATAATGAGAGTTTGTCTCAAAGAAAGGTGGAAGCTAAGTCATGGTTCATGAGAAGAAAGTGGTTTCTAAGATGTCCTCATGAGAAGGGAACGAGGAGATGTGATGGGAAAGAGGAGATGTGATCTCCAGGCTAGGAAGAGTTGTTCTAGGTGCTGCTGACAGACCGATTGCTTCCTAATGCTAAATAAACAGCCCGGAGCTGGAGGGAAGAGAGATTTCCCCTGTTGAGCTGGGGAAGGAAGGGAATAGAAACAGAAGGAAAACCAGTCTCCCTATCCTCTTTTCCCCCTTAGAGGACTGGGAGATTAATGTCTTCTGAGGAAGGGATACATGGAGGCACGGTAGAAGACCAAGGTTTTAGAGCAGCTATCATGAAATTTCTGTTGGTTCACTTTCCTTTGACTGCCAGGCCCAAGACTTCCCGATGTGAACTGAAACCAGAAGATTTCACAGAGCCCTACT